GTGTATCGGAAATTCTAACGGTATGCTCATTTTAAAATTATTTTGCGATATTGCTGTTGTACCGAATTTCATGGTTTAAGTGGGAAGAACGTGATATTTAATAAATAAAGGTAACACATTAAACGTTAACAAAACGTCCTTTTGGGCGTAATATAAAATCTATTGAATTTTTTCTTTAGTTTATAGCTTAATAAATAATCTGAAGGGGGAAATCCAGTCGAAATGCTTTGCTGCTAGTATTTTAAAAAGACGCATAAATATCATCTTCGAGACAGCATAGAATTTTCGCATAGAATAACCAATCTTTCAACGTGTTACTTTTTTAAATAAATATTTATTAAACTTTCCTTTTTAATTTTGTTTAAAGGAATAATTTAATTTAGTTTTTATTATTATTATTATTTTTTAATTCATACTGTCATAGTTAAGTAAATGCAGATTAATAATTGCGTATGTATAATTAACAATATTGATATTCTAGATGTTACCCAACAGAAAATAATAAACAGGAAATAGTTTATTTAAAAAATAATTTGGCTATTAAAGATAAGTAAATATTAATTTCCACCTTTGCTGAATGGTAAAATTTTTTTATCTGTATTTATCCTTTCTATTCTTTTTATAAGTAAAATACAAACTTTATTTAAAAACAAACTGAAAGGATATGGAAAATAGAAGATAGAAAATGAATGTTCTAAAAAAATTAACATTAATTTAAATCATTAATAGGAGTAAGCAAACTAACTATAACAACAAATGATTTTCCTGCAATATCAATTTCTTCTTCTTGCATCATATATCTTCAAAAGAAAAATCTCTAGCAATTTCAGTTGATGTGTGTTTGTGTAACAGGATCTACTTTCGTGTCATTCATATCAAGTGCCAAAAGAAAGAACTTTTATTCAGCAACGTTGTTTCACTCTTTACTTTTTGTTCCGTTCCAAAACAGAATTCTGATAACTTGTCAGATAACAGTTTAACATAATGGCCATTACGTAATGCGCCATCTATCGTCTCATTTTTGAACTAAAAGACAAGCGATAATTGTTGACTGCTTAAAACTGGAACTAATTGCATTATTTCGTTCACGACAAGAAAGTGGGGGTAAAAAGTTAATTTTTTAATTTTCCCTCTATGTTGAAATGTCTGTATTAAAGTGTGTTGGGTAGCTAAATATGTTTAAAAAATTCGATTTATTTATTTATTTATTTTAATTTTATAAAAATTTCTATGGTGTCTTTTTCAAACTTTTGCACCGATACAATTAGGCTATTATGTATTTATTACCTACGCAGTGTTGATATGCTTTACTGTTCCTCGAAAGGTAAGGTCTTGAACTTATTTCTGATGTGGCGAACCCATTTTTAAATAAGTTTCCATTCAATGTAACAGAAAATATTTAATTTACCTTTTAATTTATAATTCTGCTACTTACCAAACTAATCGATTTAAAGGTGCATACACTTAATGTATAGTACGTTTAATTGGTAATTATGAGCATTTGAAGCACTATTTCAGTTAAAAAAAGTCTGTTTTTAATATCGCATACGTATCTTGGACATTTTATCTCACAGCTCTTGAATGATCCCATTTAATTTTAACTTAATGGAACAATTTTAACTAAATTAAATTAAAGGAACATGATTTATACATTTTAGTGCTGAAGGAGCTAGTTAATAATTAATCACAAATTCATTAAAGCAGTTTACTAACACCAGCTTAAGGTAATATTTTCACGTGATCATCAAAAAAACATTTTCCTATCAGATGATAAAAATTTTGAAGAAACTCATAGACGAAGGATGTCAAACTAGCGGCCCGCCGGCCGCATGCGGCCCACAACAAATATTTTTGCGGCCCGGCCAATATATCGACAAATAATAATATATAATAATAAAATAACATATCGACGAAGAAAAAAATTAAATGTTTACTGCTAAGTAATTAACGATAATTTATTCAGTGCTGTTAGATTACTCACAGCGAGCTGACACACACACTACTTAAATTACAAATGCGTGTGAGTAGCTTGCGTTCAGCTACCTTCGGCTTTTGGGGAACACGTGCACTCAGAACTTGTACGCATCCCCCGATAGCCGAATGTGGCCGAACTCATGGTCTCAGTTTTCCAATCATAGTTTTGTACGATATTTCATAGTTATTTATTTGTTACGGATTTGTTTATTTCATTTTGTTACGGATTTCACAGTTATTATTTATTTAGTTTTTTTTTATTTAGAATTGCAATTAGATTTGCTTCATGCTGCCTTAGCAACGCATACGATTTTTCAAAAGACAGCTGCGCTGGAAGGTTAAAAATAGAACAGCGCGTGCATTTAATACCTAATAAATAAATATCTCGTACTTGCTGTTGCCATCCACAAAAATCTAGATATTTATAGATGTTTCCAGTATATTCGAGAAATTAATTATAAAGCTTATAAAAGCCGAGAACAAACAACTCATCTCAGTAGTAGCTGTAGTTCTAGCGAACTGTTTGTTTACTTAATGCTGTGATTGATTTGTAGCGATTTCGCTGTGAGATAGAATTAGTTTCTCTGTTTTCAATTGATTTTTGGTAAACGTTTGACATTTTGTGATATTGTTAGAATATTTTTGAAGAAATATTTCAGCATTTTGATTTATCTCTTGTGGAAAGAATAAATTTTTGTTAACTTTTTAACGTTAACCGTGTTTATTCCAGCCCTTTGTATTCAGTATGTCTATATCAAAACCAAGTGGTAAGTAAAATTAAACGAAAAATCGCTGACGAACATAGAATATTCCAAGTAAAATGGGAATTAGAATATTTTTGGTTGTGAAATAAAAGATAAAAAATCTGCTTGATATGTAATAATACTATTAATGTACCAAAGTTATATAATATTAAACGTCATTACGAACAACACAAATCGAAATATAACAATTACGAAGGATTAATGGGAGAAGAAAAGTTGAAAGAGCTCAAGTTAAGAGTGAAAAAGTTTAGTAAAGTATTGCAAGAAAGTGAAGCGGCGGTACATGCAAGCTACGTCTTGTCCGAGTTGATAGCTAAACATTCGAAGCCTTTTACTGACGGTGATTTCATCAAGGAATGCCCAATGAAAGCTGGAGAAATTGTTTGTCCTGGAAATGTGAAGGCTTTTCAATCAATTTCATTGTCTCGAAATACAGTTGCGGAAAGAGTTACTGATTTAGCCGCGAATTTAAGTGATCAGATCAAAGCAAAATCATCTAGTTACGAAAGTTTCTCCATTGCCTGCGACGAGAGCACGGACATTAGTGGCAAAGCTCAATTAGCAGTGTTTCTTCGTTCTTGTGACAAGAATTTTAAAATTTTTGAGGAATTACTGGAACTAATACCGATGCCTGGTACTACCACAGGAGAAGATATATTTACTTGTGTTTTTGGACTTCTGCAGAAATACAATTTACCTTTGGCAAAATTAAATTCTGTAGCTACAGATGGCGCTCCATCAATGACCGGGAAAAACAAGGGCTTCGTAGCATTACTAAGAAAAAAACTTAGTGAAATTCACGGTTCAAACATTCATCATATGCATTGTATTATACACTGAAGTGGGCGTGCCTGAATTTTACAAATATTTACCAGCCAGGTTTGAAAATACTCGAAAATTCGCATATGAAATTATTTCCATGTTTGGTAGCACTTATCGGCGCGAGCAATTATTTTCAGTCATGAAAGGTAATAAGTCTCCTATTAGAAACCGTATTAATGATGCTCACCTTGGGTCAGCGTTAAAAGTTATCACTGCAAACAAAATTTCTCCCGAAATAGGAAAGATAATAGCAGAGAAGAGATGTCAAGTATCAGGACGTAAACATTAAATTTTTGTTGTTTCTTTTCTATATATAAATATATATATGTTTATTATTGTATTATTCGAAATAAATGTACGTTTCTATGAAGATATTGAATTTTTTTTTTTTTTTTTTTTTTTTTTTTTTTTGCGGCCCGCCTAAAGTTAAACCTTGTTTGTTTGGCCGAAGTGTACCTATGAGTTTGACATCCCTGTCATAGACTATTTAATTTTTAAAGAGCTAACAGTTTCATTTTTATGGTTTTGAGTGTTAATCCATAAATCATTATTTAATTGGGAAATATTGCTTTAAAATAGGTTCTCGAACAAATATTTTGCACCACATAAATAAGAACTGAAAATATTTGTACGTTAATAAAAGCAATTTCCGATTAAAAATCAGTATATTCTAAGCAGAGTAATTTAAGAATTGTTCCACCAATAGTAATGCAGTGTACCCATTAGTATTACATATACCATAGTTTGGGTGCGAAATGATTGCAAAGTAACCTTCTGAACATAACAAAAACAAAGTTTTGCTTATAGCTGAAAATTAAAAATTTAATCTTTTGCTTAAAATTGAAATTGTAATACATCTATTAGAAGATTAAAAAAATTAACGGCGATAATAGTATAGACAATTTTTAGGTAAACATATACATTCCGAATATCTGCTAAATATATATATAACATATAAAAAGTATATAATTTATATATATATATATATCTTTAATAAATTATTCTCATATAGAAATAATCATTAGATATATGACTTCGCTTTTCGTAGTTTTATATAGACACAATATTATTTGCATTTTTAGTTTAAAGGGATAATTATTTAACCAACAATATTCGATTACAGACGATTCAAAATCTCCTCCCAAAATTGAGTTCAAGTTCTAAATAAAAATGCTAGTTCTACGATTTTCGTCTGGTTTCACTCTGTTGCCAAAACTCTGGAATCAATAATTGTTTTCTTCTTCTTTTTTTTTTTTTTTTCTTTTATCGGAGTAGTTGCCATGGAGGTAAGGAAAACAATTAAGAAGAAATACGTTTAATTATTACCGTTTCTTACATTATTCCCTCGCCAGTAACTAAGTTACGACACTAAGTATACCTGATGAGAAACGGAGAGACAGTTGTAGGATTAATTTCAGTCTTGAAACCGGACGGGCAAGTTTACCTGTCTACCGGAACGGCTGTAAGAGTTTTGCTGTCGTCGATAGCTTGGGAAATCTTTTCGCTTGAATGTTGGTTACTTTTATTATCCACAATCACTTTGTCAGATACAGCATCAAAATCAGTAGCTAGCATGTATGCGGGCTTTAGTCTGCAAACAGAAATATTAACTGTTTTGCCTTTGACGAGCACAGAAAAATATTTCTCATTTCTATCAGATACTTGAAACGGTCTCGTATAAGTTGGTTCACGTGGCTTTTTCACTTTGTCTGTTCTCACAAAAACATACGAGCATGACTTTAAATCTTTCTGGATAAAAACTTTCTGATGGGTAGCACACCGTGTTTTTATCGGTTTAAAGTTATCCATATAGTTTAGCAACTTACCCGCAAAGGTAGCAGGGTCAACTTTAAAATTGGGTGGATCAAAAAATTCATCAGGTAGTTTAAAGTTTGTTCCATATACCATTTGCGCAATCGAGTGGTTTGTGTCACATCGTAAAGCAGATCTAAGACACAACAGAACTGTTGGTAGTGTTTCAGTCCACTGAGAATTATCATGCTCTTTTATAGCAATTTTCAAATTTCTATGAAGCCTCTCAATTTTCCCATCGCATTGGGAATGGTACGCTATAGCATGAAGGACCTTAGCCTCACATATTACAGCCAAACTCCTAAACAACTGTGATTGAAACTGCGTTCCTTGATCCGTAATAATTATATATAGGACGCCAAATCTGCAAATCCAGTGCTTATAAAAGGTTTTGCTTACAATTTCTGCAGTGATGTCTGCAGGGATGACTTCCATCCAGCCCATAAATCAGTCGATGTAGGTTAAGCAATATACGTTCCCATTTGAAGGGGGTAATAGGCTAATGAGATCGATATACTGAAACGGGGATCTGATTCTCGATATTCCTCAAATTTGATTTGGTGTGCCTAGTAACTTTGCATTTTTGGCATCTGATACATGCTTGGGCCCAATCTTTTATTTGTTTTTTCATTCCAGGCCACGCAAAACTAGCAGTGCTAGGGTGTGAAAAACCATGAATTTGATCGAAAAGTTTTCCCTCGAAACCAGCTGGAATATAAAGCCAAATCTTCTTTTGTGAGGCATCACACCATAAAACTTTTGAAGATGGAAGTACGGACTGATTATATTTAACTGTCGTATCACTTTCCATTAGACCTTTCAGTTCTGGATATGTACTTTGTTCTATGCCAATTTGTTCATAATCAATAACAGAGATCCGTGATAGAGTGTCCTCAACCACGTTTTCTTATTCACTAATATGCAGAATATCTGTGATGAACTGCGAAATGTATTGTAGTTGACTCAGTTGTCTGGGGGATGTTTTCTCATTTTTTTTTTTTTTTTTTTTTCTTAAAGGTGAAGATAAATGGCTTGTGATCCGTTATACTTACAAATTTTCTACCTTCTGGCATTTCACTGAAAGGTATATACCCAAGAGTTCACAATCGTAGGTGCTGTAAGATTTCTGAGCGTCATTCAATTTGTTTGAATAGAAAGCAATTGGCCTCCAGTTTCCTGCTTGAAATTGTTGTAGTACCGAGCCAATAGCCCAGTCTGATGCATCAGTGCACAATCATAACGGAAATCCAGGTAAGGGGAAGCATGCAGTCGTTGTCTTGAACTAAAAAGCATTAGCTTTGTATAAAAACTTTATTGATATTACAAAACATGAAATATTTTTTAAGAAAAATTGCATGCAGCACAGTGCGGCTAAGAACGCTATTCTATTGAAACATAAACATGAACAACTGTTGCCATTCACAGAAACTCAATAGTAAAATAAAGCATATTGCCAGTAACAGGATTATTGTAAAAATATAACATAAAAATAAACAGTGAGAAAATAAATAAGGCAAAAGAAAACATGAATACAAATATTAAATATATATCCAAACAGGCAGCATTAGCTAAATCATGCTTGCATTTTTCAAATTGTTGGAATTCTCAGCCCATGGAACTTTTCGTTTATCCTTCTTTTTTGCCTCCTTTAAAAACTCATGCAGTGGTGTCTGTGTCTAAGCATTTCTCAAATACCTGCGATAAAAATTTATCATACCCAAGAAGGTAGTACGCAAGTCTTGTAGGGTCACAGGCAGTGGGTATTCTATGACATTTACCTTGTTAAGCAGGGGACATGATCTTTTAGCAGTGATCAGAAAACCCAGAAACTTAATTTGGTCTACTCTCAGAATGGACTTCGATACATTAATGCGAAGGCCAATTAGCTCAGTCTCTCCAACACTATCTGCTGATGCTGTTTGTGTTCATCATCAGATGATGATGCTATTAGCACATAGTCTAAATATGGGAAATAGATAATCCAAACCGATGAAAACTTCGTTAATGAAATGCTGAAAGGTAACCGGTGCATTTCTGAGTTTGAAATTCATAACATTGAATTCAAATAACTCGAAAGAGGTAATTATGGTGGTCAGTTTGTCTTCTTCAACGATTGGTATCTGATAGTACTAGATCAGTCTTTAAAAATATATTTTATCCTGCAAGATAAGAGAAAGTCTTCGATTCTGGGAATCGGGTAACGGTGAGGTATTGTTTGGTCATTTAATCGTCTATTATCCCCGCAAGCTCTAACTGCTCCATCCTTTTTATTATCCTGACTAACTGTAGGAGACTAGCCCACTGAGACTTTGATGATCGAATGATTACCTTCTCCAACATGAACTGAAATTCTTGCCAAGTTTTTCAGGATCGAGTGGACGGACCCGTGAATGCACAGGCACCCCTTTGGTTGTTATGTGATGGTTCACATCATGTTTACTTGAGGTACTGAAAAGATATACTTAGTTAAGTCTGGGTAAGATTTAAATAATTCATAAAACTTTGACTTATGGTATTATTCAGTGAGCTGATGATGTGTTCATCTGAGATAGACTTAACTGCAGCCTTTACAAAGGATAACTGAGTAACACCATCGAACAATTTTTCTGTTATGAATATCAACAAGTATTTCGAAATGATTTAGAAAATCAGCCCCGATGATAGCTTTATTAACCTTGGCGACCTAATGCTATTTCTTATGATTATAGAAATAACAAAATATTGGTCAAGTAGCTTCAGATGGCGATTCTTAGAATATTTTTAGACAGTGAAGCAACTTAATGGAAAATAATAAAGTACAGAAATAAAGTAAAGTGTGTGAAAACTTCCCAATGTCTGTTAAACTTATGGGTCAGGAAATACTAATAAATGCTTATTCCCAGTTTTCATTTCTATTGCTTATAATATGTGAAGAAAAAGCATGAAGACTACCTGAATTCAGTAGAGGGTATTCTGGAGAAAATAATGGTTGATTAAAAACATTTCATCGAAAGTTTAAATAAAGTAATTGGGACATCTTGTGACAGATAATATTGGAATAAACACATAGATGTTGTCATTAGAGTTTTATATGAAAATTTTATTTTTACATTAAACTGATTAAATTATTATGTATTGTATTATTATTATATATTTAAATTATATTAAAGTACGTATTTGCCGTATATTTCGGTTTATGAAACGCACTTTTAACACAAATAAAACTGAAATTTACGCCACGCGTCATATGCCGGATGTAAAAATGATAGATTTAAACATTAGAAAGAGACGAGTATACAAAAATTAGATTTCTACATGTACCTAAATGCTGTTTATTTAAAAGAAATGGCATAAATTAAAATTATTCACTGTAGGCTAACGTGAAAAGTACATCATAATCGTCTTCCTTTAGAGTATCTTCAGGAACATCAAATTCTGCTTCATTTTAGCTCTGAGCAGTAAATTCCCCCGTACAGTTTTGCCTTTGCTCGCTTTGAAATTGTTGAGTTTGTTAATCAAAAATTTGTTAAAGTTTTGCAAAATCTAAAATAGATTATAAAACGAATTCGAAATTCAGAGTTCGGGCTTTCAAGTGGTCATGGTCGGTTGGAAGACTACGTTATTCAAAATTGATGGTTCTAGGCACCGTTATTTTTTCACTGTGCGAGAAACATTCATGCATTCATGCAGATTCTTCATTGTTTTGTACAGACATTAGGTATTTTGGAAGCAGGAGAATTGAAAAAAAGAGCAACACCTTCGCCGGTAATCGAACCACGGACCTCTGGATACCGGCCCAGCGTGCAGAACCACTACACCACGAAGGCACGCTAGGAAAGCGGAAGAAATACCTTATACTTTAGTTTCTTTAAATATAATGCATGGCGATAATATTTGTTGGCAGCAGTTTGAAAAGTGAATCGACGCAAAATGCTGTTTTGAAATTAATATACCATCTGCGTTAACGCCCTTTGGGCTAAAAATTATTTTGCCATTTGCACAACCTATTCGCTATTTGAATTAAATATGCACACATCAAAATATTAGATTAGAAATTGGATACCATTTTAATTATCAGAATTTAAGTTTTAATACTTTAATTGTAAAATTAAGTGCGAAATTTGGGCCTGTTTGAGAGAAATAAATTTCTTTATGTGTGGTCTTATGTCACTCACTTTTAAGCGTAAATGAAATCCACATTTAATTTCGTTCTGTACTTATTTTTTAAACATAAAATGGAGAAATTCTTCCTCACACATCCTTTTACACACATGTAGGTGGTGAAAAAATGCAATAAAAATTTAATAGCTTTATTTGAAATGCTTCTAAGTTCTTTTTTTTTCGGTTAATGCAAAAGGTAACGAGTGTGCTATTTTTGAAGTCTTCAGTTAGAGTCCGATCACAGAAAATTTCTTTGAATTGTTCTTTTTCTTCACGAGAGATTAATGAGATACTTTTATCTTTTTTATAGGAACTTACTTTTATTTTCTATTAAATACAGCATCCATTTCTATCACGCCTTTTAAAAACATCATTTATGGCAAATTTTGTCATATCTACGGCTAAAAGGATATTTGTGAGGCGTACGACATGGAAGAACCACGAAAACTGCGATGCAGACAGAACGTTCGCCTCTTGTCAAAGCCTATAAGCGGCTATTGACTTTGAACAAAGGTCAGATCGCTTAAATTTACAATTGTTAAAGAAAAAAACTCAAGCAGAATGTTGAGGTTTTAATTTTTGAATTTAATTGTTAAAATTATTTTGCTTCTTTGTATACCACCTATTTTTCTCTTGCATACCACCAGTGGTACGCGTACCACTGGTTGAGAACCCCTGATCTAGATTATTAGAAATGATGTAAGGTATTTTCTCCCTGTTTTCCGCATGCCTTCGTGGTAAAAGTGGAAGCACACTTGACGCGTATTCAAAAGGTTCAAGGTTCTATAGGCGAGGGCTAGAGCATTTTTCATTTCTTCTGCTAAAATAACGTAATCGCTCTACAGTACTACGTTTTTTAAATGACTTTTGAATTACGTTGGGTTTAATTTAATTCTATGCTTTTATTATCCGCTCACAAACTGACATCACGTATTTGCCTGTTCTTGTAAATAGATTTTCACCTTCTAACATATATATTTCGCTATAGTTTTAAATTTTCTTTGAGTGTTTTATTGGTACGTACATCTAAAGGCCGAACTAATGGAGTTAATGTGCCTGGAATAACTGCCATGTCTGTAATAAACTCTTTCAACAATTTCTTCATATTATCCGTTAGATGGGAATTGAACACGTTTCAGACTGAAAGACTTTCTGGATTCTTTAAGGAAACAGGACACTTTTGGTAATTATTTCTCATGTATAATTTCACATCGCTTTCATCCTTCCATCATTCTAAAAACACATTCTGGTTGGAAATTGTAAGCTGAAATTAGGAAAGATAGAAAAGTAGTTTTAACTAAAGA